ATTTTTACAAATGAGAATGTATGTATTGAAAGATTAAAGATATTTAACCACCTTACATTCTTTCTAGTGCATGGCAGTGTATAAACAAGCAGAAGAAAAGCTCTCATTTAAAATAGGTCCAGGAATTCAATTTAAAACAAAAGAAAACAAAAAACCAGAGGCAAACCCTCCTACAAAATGATTATCTTAATCTATCAAGTTTTAGTAGAAGAACGAGGCACTGGTATTAGACTCCTTAGCTAGAATTATTATTGTACAAAAGATTAAGATTATACTCTTTTTTACAGTTCTTGTGTGACCTATTTTCTCCTGTTAAGAAAATTTTCAAATCTGAGACAATTTATCTGAATGTCTATGTATCTTTCATGTATATCTTTATAATTAATAATGATAACAATTGGGTTTGTATTAAAACATCAAAGTGATGTTTGAACATGAATCCAATTTTAGGTTCATATGCCTTGCTGTTAAGTCACAGAGTTCATCAATATTAAAGGCATCGTGAGATCTCCAAATCTTCGTCTGGCTTTTTATCATGTTCCATCATCTAACAATATCACCACAGGATGAAGATGAATTCAGACACAGGTTGATTAACAGCCTGTGTTGACCTAACTAGGAACTGCAGAATTCTCAAAAGAAATAAAAACTTGAATGATTGTCCCTGAGGAATTTACAACCTAATGGAATTAATAGTACAGTAATAATTATAATTTACTGCTAATAATAAAAAATGCATGTAGCCAACAAATATTTAAACAAGTATATACAATATATTATGGATTAAAATACTATCCTATCTAAAAACTGCTTACATTTAATTCAGTTTACAAGCATCTGAGTGCCTACTAGGTGCAGAGTATTACACTAGGTACTAAAATATTTTTTCTTCTTGAATTTATAATCAAATGGATGACCTAGTTTAGGTTAATTTGCTGACTCTATACTAAATAAAGATAGTTAATAAAACAGCATATTTTACTTTTCAATTAGATTTTTAAAAATAAAAATATAATAACCCAATATTAAATTATAAACATTAAACTGATTATTATTTCCAGTGAATGTTAGCTTTGCAGTTTTCTATTCTTGAAAAAAAATAAAGAAAATTTGGGATCTAATCTTATTAGCTATAGCAAAAAGTTTCTGCTGTGCTTATTTATAGGAGTTCATTGACATGGATAAATAATTGTTGAATTAAAAACATTTGCCCCACTCTTGCCCAAATCTCACAATACTTTTTATTTATTTATTTATTTAAAAATTTTTAAAGTTTAGTTGGGCTTCCCTGGTGGCTCAGATGGTAAAGAACCCACCTGTGATACAGGAGACCTGGGTTCGACCCCTGGGTTGGGAAAATCCCCTGGAGGAGGGCATGGGAACTCACTCCAGTATTCTTGCCTGGAGAATCCCCATGGACAGAGAAGCCTGGCGGGCTACAGTCCACAGGGTTGCGAAGAGTCAGACACAACTGAGCAACTAAGTACAGCACAGCACAGCACATAGTTGGTTTACAATATGTTGATTTCTTTTGTACAGAGATGTGACTCATTATACACACATGTATTATTTTTAACATTCTTTTCTATTACGTTTGTCACAGGATATTGAATATAGTCCCTGTGCTATACAGTAGGATCTTGTTTTTTATCCATTCTATATATAATAGTTTGCCTCTGCTAATCCCAAACTCCCAATCCTTCCCTCCCAACCCCTCCTCCTGTTTGTAACCACAAGTCTGTTCTCTGTATCTGTGAGACATTTTGTTTCATAGATATATTGATTGGGTCATATTTTGGATTCCACATGTAAGTGATGTCATATGATATTTGTCTTTCTCTTTCTGACTTTCTTCACTTAGTATGATAATCTCTAAGTCTATCCATGTTGCTACAAATGGAATAATTTCATTTTTTTTATGCCTGAGTAATGGACGATTCTACATATGGACATCACCAGATGGTCAATACCAAAATCAGATTGATTATAATTTTTGCAGCTAAAGATGGAGAAGCTCTGATACAGTCCACAAACACAAGACCGGGAGCTGACTCTGGCTCATATCATGAACTCATTACAAAATTCAGACTTAAATTGAAGAAAGTAGGGAAAACCACTAGACCATTCACGTATGAACTAGATAAACTCCCTTAAGATTATACACTGAAAGTGACAGATTCAAAGGATTAGATCTGATAGACAATGCCTGAAGAACTATGGATGGAGGTTCTTAACATTGTACAGCAGGCTGTGAATAAGACCATCCCGAAGAAAAAGAAATGCAAAAAGGCAAAATGGTTGTCTGAGAAGACCTTACAAATAGCTGAGAAGAGAAGTGAAAGGCAAAGGAGGAAAGATATATCCATCTGAATGCAAAGTTCCAAAGAATAGCAAGGAGAGATAAGAAAGCCTTCCTCAGTGATCAGTGCAAAGAAATAGAGGAAAACAATAGAAATTGAGGGCAGGAGAAAGGAACAGCAGAGGATGAGATGGTTGGATGGCATCACCGATTCAATGGACAGGAGTTTGAGCAAGCCTCAGGAGTTGGTGATGGACAGGGAAGCCTGGCTGACGTGCTATAGTCCATGGGGTTGCAAAGAGTTGGACACAACTGAACTGAACTGAATGGAGTATACGAGTTTGCTCCTTTGGTTAGGAAGTCTCCCTGGAGAAAGGAATGGCTACTCATTTCAGTATTCTTGCCTGAAAAATTCCATGGACAGAGGAGCCCAGTGTGCTACAGTTCATGCGGTTATAAGGAGTTGGATACAACTGAGCATACACTCATGGCAACTCTTATTTTTAATTTTTTGAGTAACCTCCATACTACTTACATAATGGTTATACCAATTTACATTCCCACCAACCATGTTTGAGTTATCTTTTCTCCACATCCTTTCCAGCATTTGTTATTTGTAGATTATTTAATGATGGCCATTCTGACTGGTATAAATCTCATAATCTTTGATTTTCACGAAGCTCCTGGTGTCTTACCACTTTCTCAGTCTCCTTTTCCATCCCCCATTCACAGTTCTCTTTATGCTCTGGCTTTGGGCAGTTTCATTCATTCTCATACTTGCAGTGACTCCTAAACCAACACCTGTAAACTTGACCTTTGTGACTCTAGCATTTCTAATTAATCTCTAAACATTTCTGATATTCATGTTCCACCTAAACTTCAACCACTGAAACCAAACTCATCATCTTGCCTTCTTAAAACTAGCATCATCTTCTAAATCTCTTATTTCTCTTGGTGTAATAAGATTGTTGGTCAGTCATGTCCAACTCTCTGTGACTCCATGGACTGTGTCCATGGAATTCTCTTGCCAAGAATATTGGAGTGGGTTGCCATTCTCTTCTTCAGGGGATCTTCCCACCCAGGGATCAAACCCTCATCTCCCACGTTGCAGGCAGTTTCTTTACCATCTGAGCCATCAGGGAAGCCCAATAAGAGTGTCATGTATGTTTTTCTGGATTGTACTCTGTACAGAAGGACTCAGCTGAGGATTGAGCAGAAGGTGAAACTGTTCTGTTCACAAGCGGTGCACTTGGGTGTAGGGCTGTGTCAGCCTTAACATCTTTTAATACTTCCTCTACCCAGAGAGGACTCGTTTGTCTGCTTCATGCATGGGGGCATGTTTGCTGTTGGAGGCCCTGAGTCTTCTCACCTTTTTCTTCTAGTCACCTGTTTGAGAAACTCAGACTCTCCATTCATTCTTCCCTCTTTTTAGTCCCCCATATATATGTTGCATTGATCCTTATCCATTTTCATGCACACTGCTGCATTCCTGAACTGTTCTAATAATTTTTTCATTTAACTCTTCCATTTTATCCTTGCTCTGCTCCTGTCTTTTCTTCACCCTGTTACAGATTACCCTTCATTGAAGCATAGTTTTATTTTGTCATTTCATTGCTCAAAAACTTCACAGTCCATTTCTGCCTGTATTATTAAGAACAAACTCTTCAACCTGTCACTCTTCCAACAGCCATGGTCTAAAATATGTGTGGTGACTTGTGTAATATCTTGTGTCTTGTAATCGCTTAGTAAATGTTTATTAAACTATTTAAGATCTCCTGTGATATTTTCCCAATGCCCACCTTCCACTTAGGTTCAACTTGTACCCTGTGTGTACCCTTGGCACCACTGTGAATTACTGATATTCACAGAACTGGTAACCAACTGTCCTACATTTATCACTTTGGTGTTGCTGATTCATTCACCTGGGGCACTATCCACGTTCATTCTCCAAAAATCTATTCCTCTCTTTAGACTTTCCTTGTTCTGTTCCTGTCCTTATCCCTTCCTTCCTTCCTTTAGACTGAATGACAGCTATTTTTTTTTTTAATTTAATCTATTTACTTATTTTTGGCTGCACTGAGTCTCTGTTGCTTTCCACCGGCTTTCTCTAGTTATTGCAAATTCAGGCCACTTCTAGTTGTGGTGCACGGGCTTCTCATTGTGGTGGCTTCTCTTGTTGTGGAGCACAGGCTCTAGAGTGTGCAGGCTTCAGCAGCCATGGCATATGGGCTTAGTTGCTCTGCAGCTTATGGAATCTTGGACCAGGAATCGAACTTGTGTCCCCTACATTGGCAGGCAGATTCCTATCCACGGTGCCATCAGGGAAGTCCTGAATGACACCTTTGTTATGGCTCACTTAAAATTTTATTTTCTTGTTTTAAAGTCACCTTTGGTTTGTTTCTTCCACGAGATGTTGAGCTTCTTGAGGGTAACAAGTCTTTGTTGTCTTTGCCTCCTCTTGTACCCCAGGTTCAAAGAGGAATATACAGATATTCAAAAATGTTTGTTAATTGAAAACCATCACCCAGTTTTAAAAATGCACGGAAGATAGATTGACTAACCATTCAGCTTTATAGAAGAGATACCACTACTTAAAAATTTTTTCCTGATAGCAGTAGACAAAAGTAAGAACAGATTTTGGTATTATTAGGATTAATATGTGAAATGTGATTGAAATAACTTATCCCACATTTTTTTGTAGAAAGATGCTGAATTCCAGGAGCATGAAAAGATTCTGTCTCCAGATTTTCTTTCAGTTGCCCAGATCATTGAAATACTAGCAGAGGATGTAGATGGAGTTCAACAGTAAGTACTTTGATATCACAACCAGATATGGAACAGTTCTAGTTCTGCATCTATAAATGGCATAATATGTTATTACACATTTTAAACCTTTTTTCAAAATATTTGTTATTATATTGTGCACAGATATATATATATATCCAGACTCTGGAACACAAAAATTCTCAAACTGACTTTTTGCACTGCTCAGCAGTCTTCTTTATGGAAGAAGTGGATTTCAAACCAACTTGTTATCTTAACACAGAATAGGGGTTTATTGTTAAAAGCAACCATTAACATATGACATCTTCTTTTCTCTTTCATTTGTAAAACTGACAGTATGCATAAGAACCTCTATGTCTTCTGTCTCATCCTGACAACAGTAAGATGTATTTTCTGTAATACTAATAGTCAATACATGTATGATTTTGGTAATCCTGAATATTAGCCATCCACCTGTGATTTTTATTGGATATGAAGCTATACTAAGTACTCTAATCTCATACATTTTGTTTAAATATGGCAATATAACTGAATCTATAGGCATCAGTTCTAGTACAGGTACTTCTTATTTTTAAAGCCATTGATTTCTACAGTAGATCATTTTCTTAGAACTCTTAGATATACTCAGATATATTCACCACACAAATGCCTAAACAGTGTTTGTAGTAGCATTCATTTTAAAAATTATCTCACTCTAATAATGGAAGCCTGATTAGTTGTAATATATGGAGAATGGGAATGATGTGATGATGTTCTGGACTGTAAGGGTAAGATTTCTGTCAGCCAGTCATCTGGATGCAAGCAGAGTGTTGTAAACCATAATGGCAAATATAAAATGACTGTCAGTGGTTATCATTTGCAGATCATAATATCAAATATTACAGAATAGAGGTGATTTATAGTTGAGAAGGAAATATGACAAATTTACTGGGTGGAGGAGAAATTTGAGAAGGGAAAGCATATTAAGAGCAGGCAAATAACACTGACAGGCCTTTTCCTGAGATGCTTTTCACCTCCACTGCCTTCAAATCCTGCTAGAAATCTTGGTGATCTGTGATTTGGCCATACAAGCTTACTATCTGCATCTTTAGAAGTATGAGTCAATTAAAAATTTCATAGATATCAAGTAAGAATTTCATGGTCATTTTACCATTTTTATAGAAGCAGATACTCTTTGGGAATTCTTATTTTTTAGTGCCAGAATTAATTAGAAAAATTCATTTATTAATATCACTGATTACTTAAGTCAGCCATATTATTTTGGACTTCTAGATAACCCCAAATGTTATTGTTGAAATGCAAAAAATAGATATTTATTTATTTATTTTATTTATTTTTTCCATTTATTTTTATTAGTTGGAGGCTAATTACTTTACAATATTGTAGTGGTTTTTGTCATACACTGACATGAAATGCAAAAAATAGATACTCAATACTAGGCAGATAGAGTAATATGATGTAAATGGCACATTTAATATAGTTTATAGTTTATAATTTATCTGTATTGAATAGTAAATAAAATATATTATTTAAAAGTAGTTAATACTGAATAAAACTGCAAACAAATGCTTTTTAGACTTGTATATTTCTCATCAGATCTTAATTTGTACTGTTTATATAACAATCTTTTTGACAATTTTTTTCAATTATTGTCTCTTTTTTGTTAAGTATCTAATTTCTAGAAGTATTTTTCATCTCTAAGAGGTGAGATCTAGGAGAAAGTAGATGATTCAAAGAGTGATACAGAAGTTAGCAACATAGAAACAACCCAAATTCAACAGCAGGTTGACCTAAAATGTCATTCTTTCAGGATATGTCATTGACCATATGATTAATAGAATTCACCTGAAGTAATCTCAGATTATAGGACATCAGTTTTGGATAAATTACATCAATGTTATGCCAGGAACCATTTCTTAAAAGAGTGATTTTCTTGAGTTTTTTTTACTTGATTTTTTTAACAGTAATCCTGAAATATTTGCAATCAGTCATTCACTTTCCATTTAAAATAGCATTATGACAGAAATATAATTGAAGTATCCTGTCACCAACTGGCAAAAGTATGCCAAAAGTCATACAATCTAGGAAGCTAAGAAAATGAAAGTGTTAGCCACTCACTCCTGTCTGATTCTTTGCGACCCTATGGAGCCCACCAGGCTCCTCTGTCCATGGAATTTTCCAGGCAAGAATTGGAGTGGCTAGCCATTTCTTTCTCCAGGGGATCTTCCCGACCCAGGAATTGAGCCAGGTCTCCCACATTGTAGGCAGATTCTTTACCATCAGAGCCACTGGGGAAGCCCCTGCAAAGCTATAGTGAAGTAAAGTGGCTCAGTCGTGTCTGACTCTTTGCGACCCCATAGACTGTAGCCTACTGGATTCCTCCGTCCATGGGGTTTTCCAGGCAAGAATACTGGAGTGGGTTGCCATTTCCTTCTCCAGGAGATCCTCCCAACCCAGGGATTGAAGCTGGGTCTCTCACATTATAGGCAGATGCTTTACCATCTGAGTCACCAGGGAAGTCCTGCAAAGCTATAAACCTACTGAAATAAATTATAGGATACCAGCACATTCCCTTACCTTTTAACATTAAAAATTTTGCTCCATAAAAGCAACCAATCAAATGAACATTGAAGTATCATTAAAGTATATTTCTGGAATATACTTCAAGCAAGGATAAATAGGTACATTTTTCATCTCCTAACTGCTGTCATTCATGTTTTCCTGTAACTCTGATTTTATTTACAGATCCATGCAAATCCCTTTTGAAAAAAGATACAGACTAAATTGAAAATAACTATTTGAACATAGAAATAATGTGGAGTGATCTCTTAATGACCTTTCTATAACTGGTTTCCATGAGCTGTTCAGCTCTTGCCTTAAGGCTTATTTCTGCATGTCATCATATTCAAAAATTAAAAGGTATTCCAATTTCAAGAGCATGCAAGAATAATGTAATATTTTTACTGAAATTCTTGGTGAGATAAAATAGGTAGTTACATAACCTACCACTATAGGAAGACTTCCTAAATCACTATTAAGCATCTTTTTCTTTCGCTACATTCTCCTGTGTTACCTCAGTGGCCATCTCACTATTCTCCTATCTCCCCTCTTCCTTTATCCCTAGAGGAAAAGCTTACAAATTTGCCAGTAAAATGCATGGAAACTTTACATTTAAACCACAGCTGTATCTTGTTCCCAGCATCTCCCTGCATAAGAGAATAGAAATGTTAAATATTTAGCCTGCAGCTCAAGTTGAAGGTTAAGATTCGAATGGTACTTAGGGAAAGCAATGGAGGACACATTAGGGAAAGAGAGCAAAAGTGGAGGGACCTCAAGGAGATTTCACCAAAATATTCTCAGGCAGTTGTCTATTAATATACAGTTAAAACATTCAAAAAATAAAAGTGTAAAGCAAAGGACACATGCAGCTATTTAGGTCAGATATTTAATTGAGAAAATAACATGCAGATTGCAAATGAAGAATACATTTGGAAGGGAAACTAACTTCCAGAAACAAAAAAAAATCATTAGGCAAAGCTGATGTTTAAAGAGGACATTGATTCCATAAAACAAGAGATAAAAATAGAGATTATAAAATATGTTAAAAAGGAGCTGTTAGGACTAAGACAGGAAACTACAGTAAAGAATAAATCCTGGGGAACAAGATGGTGGAGGCATAGGTGGATGTGGAGTTCATCTCTCTCCACGGATACCTCAGGAATACACCTTCAGACACAGAAGTGCACACAGAACACCAGCTGAGAGCAGACAGGAGTACCTGACCAGAGGAGACGAATACATAGAACCACGCAAAACTTGGTAGGATGGAGGAACTAGTAGGGGAAACAGGAGTGTTAGTAAGACTGGACCTGCCCTCAGTGGGTGGGGGAACTGAGGCCTGTGAAGTTGCTTAGTTGTGTCCAGCTCTTTGCGACCCCATGGACTGTAGCCTACCAGGCTCCACCCTCCATGGGATTCTCCAGGCAAGAATACTGGAGTGGAGAATATTCCTTCTCCAGGATATCTTCCAAAGACCCTAAATAGCCAAAGCAGTCTTGAGAAAGAAGAATGGAGCTGGAGAAATCAACCTTCCTGACTTCAGATTATACTACAAAGCTACAGTCATCAAGACAATATGGTCCTGGCACAAAAACAGAAATATAGACCAATTGAACAAGATAGAAAGCCCAGAAATAAACCCAAGCACCTATGTGTACCTTATTTTTGACAAAAAAAAAAGGCAAAAATATACAATGAGGCAAACACAGCCTCTTCAATAAATGGAGCTGGTAAAACTGGACAGCTACATGTAAGAGAATGCAGTTAGAGCACTTCCTAAACCCATACACAAAGATAAACTCAAAATGGATTAAAGACCTAAATGTAAGACCAGAAACTAAAAAACTCTTAGAGGAAAACAAAGGCAGAACATGCAATGACATAAATCAAAGCAAGATCCTCTCTATGACCCACCTTCTAGGTTCAGTTCATAACAGTTGCTCAGTCATGTTCGACTCTTTGCGACCTCATGGACTGCAGCATTCCAGGCTTTCCTGTCCATTACCAGCACCCAGAGCTTACTCAAACTCATGCACATAAAGTCGGTGATGCCGTCCAACCATCTCATCCTCTGTCATCCCCTTCTCCTCCTGCCTTCAATCTTTCCCAGCATCAGGGTCTTTTCAATGTGTCAGTTCTTCCCATCAGGTGGCCAAAGTATTGGAGTTTCAGCTTCAGCATCAGTCCTTCCAATGAATGTTTAGGACTGATTTCCTTTAGGATGGACTGGTTGGATAGGGACTCTCAAGAGGTTTCTCAAACACTACAGTTCAAAAACATCAATTCTTCAGTGCTCAGCTTTCTTTATCATCCAAATCTCACATCCATACATGACTACTGGAAAAAGCATAGTGTTGACTAGACAGACCATTGTTGGCAAAGTAAAATCTCTCCTTTTTAATATGCTGTCTAGGCTGGAAATAACTTTTCTTCCAAGGAGTAAGTGTCATTTAATTTCACGGCTGCAATCACCACCTGCAGTATTTTGGAGCCCCCAAAATTAAAGTCTCTGTTTCCTTTGTTTCCCCATTTTCCAGGAAGTGATGGGACCAGATGCCATGATCTTAGTTTCCTGAATGTTGAGTTTTAAGCCAACTTTTTCACTCTCTTCTTTCACTTTCATCAAGAGGCTCTTTAGTTCTTTTTTGCTTTCTACCATAAGGGTGGTGTCACCTGCATATCTCAGGTTATTGATATTTCTCCTGGCAGTCACGATTCCAGCTTGTGCTTCATCCAGTCTGGCATTTTGCATGATGTACTCTGCATATAAGTTAAATAAGCAGGGTGACAGTATACAGCCTTGATGTACTCCTTTCCCTATTTGAAACCAGTCTGTTGTTCCATGTCCAGTTCTAACTGTTTCTTCTTGACCTGCATCCAGATTTCTCATGAGGCATTTGCATTTCTTTTTCTTTGGGATGGTCTTGATCACAGACTTTTGTACAATGTCATGAACCTTTGTCCATAGTTCTTCAGGCACTCTGTCTATCAGATCTAATCTCTTGAATCTATTTGTCACTTTCAGTGTATAATCATAAGGGATTTGATTTAGGTCATACCTGAATGTTTAGTGGTTTTCTCTGCTTTCCTCATTTTAAGTCTGAATTTGGCAATATGGAATTCATGATCTGAGCCATTATATGTATACCTATGGCTGATTCGTGTTGAGGCTTGACAGAAAACAACAAAATTCTGTAAAGCAATTATCCTTCAATAAAAAATAAAGGAAAAAAGAATAAATCCAGTATAGACCTTAACTTGCTGAAAATAAAGTCAGTAATGGAAAAAATTTATGAAAACATTCAAGATACAGATTATAGCAATTAGATGTTAGAGCATACATCTAGCATAGTGAATCAGAGAAGTAATTTAAACTTCATAAAATAAAAGCTTTGATAGCAAAGAAAATAAGAAAAGTTGCTATTCAAAAACTGTTTCTTAAACAAATACACTCTTATTGTAAATTTCCCCTCTCCCCCCAAAAAACCAAAGCTTTAAGGATATAATTCAGAATAAAATGCTACAGGGTTTGTTTTAGTTATTCCATGTATTGGTTGAAGTATTATTTTATTTTCTATGTGGCTAGCTAGTGCTGCCAGCATCATTTTTTTAACTTTTTATTTTATGTTGAAATAAACTGCCTCATTCTTGAACAATTTGTACTTCCCTTACTGCTTTTGAAATATTATGCTGTTTCCATATGTATTTGGTCTGTTTCTTTGTTTTCTACCTGTTCCTTCACCTATTTATTGATTCTGTTAAAATACCACAAGTTTTTACTACTATGGAAGTTTTCTTACTGCTTTTCACTTAAGACTAAGTGGTACTATAAACATTGAAAAGTGAATCTTGCTGACTGATACCCAACACAAATGGAAGATGGCTGGGTAGTAAGATAACCTCCCTTCCCAGAGTGCCTGCCTGTTCTTTTCTGCATCTACCATTTAATTTCTCTGCTTGACAAAATGTATCAGTTGTGCATGCCTTTATTTGCTTGTAACATGAAAACTGATTGTATTGTCTTAAAAATAAAGTTTATGCACATTTACACATATATGTGTATGTAAACTATCACATAATGGGACATTGAGAGACAGAGTAACTACAGTGTTGGTTGACTCAAGTCCTCAAAAGTATCAGGAAGTAAGGCTTAATCTTGGGATTGATTTTTCTTATAAAACAACTAATAAAAAAAAAAAAACTGCAAGTAGCAGTCAAAGCTGCTTATTTATGCTTTTGATTTTTGTTCCACAGAAGAAAATTAACCTTACCTTTAGCTATGCATTAACTAGAACAACTTAGGACAGTACCCACTGTAGGTCAATAATTATAAAGAATGCCATATACTGAAAGACATTATATAGCATTATGAGAAGGGAGTTATGATTACTGTGAAAAGACTCAGATCTCACTTTGGGGACTGGGGTCTACCCTGATACCACTGTAAATGAAATGTTTGTGAGTTGGATGAGAGTGTGTTAAAGATAACATCAGCTTTATTTTTTCCCAAACTTGTTTAATCTTGCTATATTCATTATTCTGATCATATAATTTATTTCAATATTATAAATAATAAGGACTTTTTTTTTTAAATAGCTGTATAAAGTTGTCACACAGACAAACACACACACACACTGTCTTTCTCCCTCAGAAATCACATATAAGCATCAAGGAAATATCAATTCCATCTCTGTACTAAAAAGGAGAATGAAAGTCCAGACTGCAAAATGTGAGTATGCCTGCCGGAAACATGGTAGACCAAGCAGAAGTGTGGGGAAAAGTACAAGGAGGATCACATAGTTGAAGATCTGAGAATGAGTTTAAAAAATATACTTATTGTCCCAGGTGAAGAGAAAACTCTGAAGTGCCATTCCAAGAACACTTGTTTGCAGCAGCAGGCCTATATTATAAAGCATGGAGCAGATACTTCCTATAACTATAAGAAATAGATTGTTTATGTGGTAATAAGGAGAACCTATTCTACATTTTTCATTTTTCCCACTAATTGAATAAAGGCTAACAAGTAGAATAATTGACATAAACTTATATAGAAAATAGCTTGTAATATGATCAGGTTTGAGCATTAAGCAAGGAGTATACATACAAAGACATTGCAAGGATAAAAATGAAGAATAGAAAAAAGAAATGTCAGGCAAAGGAAGTACACCAGAAAAATATGGCCATGAACAGACAGATAATATGCTCAAATATTTATCATGAATTAAGAACTCTTGTAAAGTAGTCACAAGAACATAAGACAGAGATACAAAAAAATCAAGGCAGAGATAAAAAGAAATAAAAGGTGATGAAACTTTTTTGTAAAAACTGTAGAGAAGGAGAGATATCACAGAAGTGAAATTTATAAGCAGCCCAAGGGAGAATTAACAGTGCTGAAAATACAAGGGACACAGAAGACAGTAATGAGAAAAGCATATAAAATGAAAAGGAAATTGATTTAAAATTTTTTGAAGATTAAAGAAAATTACAGTATTAGAAAAAATGAGTAAAACATACATAATTAGAATTCTTAAAAAAGAAAACAATAAATATTTAACAATCCATTTCCAGAACACTGTCAGAAGTAAAAGAAATTTGATTGTATAAATGGAAAAAGACATTGAATTTGAAAGAAAAGAAAAAGTTATTACATTTTACTTCAGAGATAAATAAGTGAAAAAGGAACCTCCTGACAACTGTTGGTGGGAATGTAAACTGATATAGCCATTATGAAGAACAGTATGGAGATTCCTTAAAAAAAACTAGGACTAAATATACCATATGACCCAGCAACCCCACTACTGGGCATATTCCCTGATAAAACCACAGTTCTAAAAGGCGTATGTACTGCAATGTTCATTGCAGCACTATTTACAATGGCTGGGACCTGAAAGCAACCTAGATGTCCATCAACTTATGAATGGATAAAGAAGATGTGGTACGTATATACAATGGAATATTACCCAGCTATAAAAAATGAATTTGAGTCAGTTCTAGTGAGGTGGGTGAACCTAGAGCCTACAGAGTGAAGTAAATCAGAAAGAGAAAATCAAATTAATATATTAACCCATATATAAGGAATCTAGAAAAACAGTATCAGTGAACCTATTTGCAGGGAAGGAATGGAGATGCAGATGTAGAGAATGAACTTGTAAACATGGTGGTAAAGGGAGAGAGAGAGAGAAAGAGTGGCATGAATGGAGAAAGTAGCATCAACATATGAATAGCTGGTGAGAAGTTGCTGTATAACACAGGGAGCCCAGCTCGGTGATTACCTACAGGGGTGGGATGAGAGAAGGGAAGGGAGGCTCAAGAGAGAAGAGTTACATGTATAATTAACACTGATTCACATATTCTATGGCAGAAACCAGCACAACATTGTAAAGCAGTTTTCCTCCGATTAAAAAAAGAGAGAGAGAGAGAGGGGAGGAGAGAAATTTAGAAGAAGAAGAAAGAGGAAGTGGAAAAAAAAACAGTAATAAGAATTTTCATGTGCTGTCTCTTTTGAATGCTGATTTGGATTTATTTGATATAATCTTGGATTTTTTACATTATGAGCATTATAGAATCTTCATTCAAGAAAAGTATCTGTTTTTAAAACTTAGAAAAGGAACTGTTCAATGTTTAATCAGTTTTAATATCTGGATTTTTCTTGTTACAGGAAACTAGAAAAGTTTTTGAATTTCAAAAATCTTCAAACCTGTTTAAAGGAAGCCAGTCTACTAGATTATTATGTATCTGGATTTTTGTGGGCAAAAGGAATGGACTTTTCTGTTATTCAATATTCAAAATTTATGACTTTACTAGATATGCTACTTCATAATCTTAGAAGTAAGTACATTACTTTTTCTTTTTTTAAGGAAAGAAAATTTAGTCTACTGTCTAAATGAATTTTCTCAAGCAAAAGCTTCTAATTTTTTTGTAAATCCTACAATGAAAATTATGTTTTTTCCTTGGGTATATATAGCAAGAATATACTTCTTAACTTCATTAAGTTGTAAAGCATTAATACTTAACAAGGTTAATGTTCTCTTAATAATGAATATGTCAGATATGTTACTTTAATTCTGAAATCTCATTAGTGTCATCCATCCCAAAAATGTCAAGTAGTCCGGATTTATCTAGATATTTTTTATTGTTTGAGCTGTTTTCATCTTATCTTACATTTAAATATTACTGTAATATCAAGTTTGCTGTTAAGAGGAGGTACTTTGGTCAGTATCAAAGCCCCATGAAATAGACATTAATCCCATACACTTAGATTTTGTGACTTATTTTATTTACTGAAATGAGTTACGACAGGAAATTTGGAAATTCTTCCTTGGAGCAATTTTAAATGTGATGACTTTTGTTTGAGAATAAACAGAGTTACTTTCTTGGAAGGAGGAAAAGAAGGAAATCTATCATTACTTATTGCCAGCTTTGTCCTGGGCAGTATGTTTGGTTCTAATCTTCAACATACATTGGAAAATGCAGAACAGCTACAGGGGAGGTATCATAACCCCTATATCACAGTTGAGCAAGTGGTCCAAGGTGCATAGTTGGTACATAGCAGAACTAGAACATGAATCTTACTGTATAATCAAAAGACCATGAACACAATAAATGTCAAAGTGTTTCTAACTCCACTGAAAGACTGCTTGTGTCTATGGGAGGCAGCTTTGCTTCCTTCCTTCCTTCCATTTCTTCCTCCTTCTATTTTGTCTCTTTTCTTTTGATTATTTGCTGTTTTTAGTTTCTTTTTTTAAAAAGTTTGGGGAGGTAGAAGACCTTTCTACCCCTAAAAAATTGTCACCATTGTCCTAGTAAAATTTATGGAGGACTTTTGGTCACACAAAGCTTATTTTGTTCCTTGTATCCTTTTCTAACTGTTCAGAAGCAGGGGAAATACTGTGTTAGCAAAATTAATTGAAGAATCACTCATATCCTATATATCCTTCCTGCTCCTCATCACCCTTAACAAGGGAAGAACTGGTAGTTTTTGTATGTGAGGAGGAGAAATCAATATTTCTCTTTCTCTGCAAATAGGAGAATTTCATTTTTTCTTTACTTAGGTATGTGGTGCCATGTTAAACATTAATAATGTACCAATAGAAGAAAAAATAATTGACAATGAGAAATATTGTATGATATTAACTGACTGATTTCAGATTATTCTGTACCTAATATAAAACTAAAACAAAAACTGAGGTCGTAGGTAGGTAGTTTTGAGAATTCAGTCTTTTCCAGTACTATTTTATTCGGAGCCCTGATAAATAATATAACATTGTTTCAGTGTCAGTTGTTGAACTATAATCTTCCAAAAAAGAATTCTTAGTAAATCATCACAAAAACAGACTTTGGCTGCTTTTTCCCTCATGACACAAATATTTGTGGAATCTTTGAGTACTACAGGTCTCGAAACAGTCTTTCAATACTATTGTCAAAATTACTAGGCAGACAAAGAACTGTGTGAATCTCATCCTGCATGGAAAATATTAATAACTAGATACCAACAATAAAATGAAATGGATATTGAGATTAGATGACAAAGACTTCAAAACGGCTACAGGAGCTTAAAAGAACTGTTGTGAATATTGTTGAAACAAACGTCAAAATATAAAGAATCACGAAGGAAACAGACGGTATAATCAAGAAACAGAATTTTAGAACCAAATTGTACAATGACCAAAATTAAAATCTCGCTGAGTAGAATCAATAACAGAATGGAGACAAAGGAAAAATCAGTGAACTTAAAGATGGAAGATCAATAGAAATTATCCAATCTGTGCAATACAGAGGAAAAAAAAAGATTGGTAAACAAATGAACAAAACCTCAAGGACCTATGAACAGAAGTTCTAATATACATATCATTCAGAGTCCCAAAAGGACAGGAGAAAGAGTACAGTGCTAAACAAGCATTTGAAAAAGCAATAGTTGAAAACATCCCAAATTTAGCAGAAGACATAGACCTGTAAATTCAAGAGGCCAACTAGTCACAAATAAGGTAAACCAAAAGAGAAACATCAACTGTCTGGATCTAATTGCCATTTACAGAACAGTATACCCCAAAACAACAGAATAGTCATGCTTTCAAGTGTGTATGGCACAGTCATCAAGGTGGACCATATCCTGGGTCATGTAACAACCTTAAATTTAATTGAAACCATACAGATATGTTTTCTGACCATCATGGAATTAAGCAAATAATAACAGAAATATGTAAGGGAAATCTCCAAACACTTGGATATTGAACAGCACAATTCTTACTAGTCCATGAGTAAAAGAGAAAGTCTCAACAGATATTAGAAAAGATTTTTAAGTAAATGAATAGATCATGGATCCACCAGAAAAGAAAGAAATAATAAACAGAAGTCAATGAAATTGAAAATGAAAAACCAATAGAGAAAATCAATGAAACAAAAATCTGGATCTTTGATAAGATCAAAGTTGATAAACATGAAGTAAAACTGACTAAGAAAAAAGATGGAAGGTACAGGTTATTATTATCAAGTATAGAAAAGGATATCACTAAACATTGTGCAGACATTAACAGAATAATAAGAGAATGTTAATTATACGTACATTAGAAGACAAAAGTAACTGACCAGTTTTCAAAAACCTCAAACTAATAAAATTCACCAAGATGAAGTAGATATCTTGATAGTCCCATAACTACTGAAAAAATTGAATATGTTGCTAAGAACTATTGGAAAAAATTCTTCAGCCCCGATGTTTCTACGGGAAAATTCTGTTAAACATTTAATGAAAAAATACCACAAATTATATATGACATCTTCCAGGAATAACAGAGGAAAGAACTCTTTGTAACTCATTTTGCGAGGCTAAAATTATCTTCATACCTAAACCTGACAAGGAGAAGAAGGAGGGGTGAGGGGAAAGGGAAAAGAGGAAAAAGTTGAGGAAAGGTGGGGAAGTAGGGCTAAAAAAGAGGAGAAGAAATTACAGAGAAATGTCCCTAATGAACACAAAAGCATCTCAACAAAATACTGTCAGAATTAATCAGGCAATTCATAAAAAAATAATATAGATGACCAGTTGGGCTTTATGCCAGAAATTCAATGCTGAATGGTTCAGTGTTGAAAATCTGATTCATGTAAAAAATTGAAAGGAGAAAAGATCACGTGATCATGTAAATGGATGCAAAGACAGCATTTGACTAAGTACAACATCCATTCATTGTTTTTAAAGTCAGAAAATTAAGAAAAGATGTGGTTTTTCTCAACCTTATAAAAGATATCTACAGAAAAGCCACCATCATACTTAGTGGAGAAAAGCAAAATTCTTTCCTTGTAAGATCAGGGTCAAGGTAAGAATGTCTAGTCTTAACTCCTGTTCAGCATAAGAATTGGAGTCTTAGCAATAAGTACAGTATAGTGAGAAAAAGAAATAAAACACAGGCAGACTGGAAAGGGGGGGATTATACAGTTCCTGTTGTCAAATGAAATGATTCTCTGTATAGCAAGTTCCACAGAATGAAAAAATTTCCTTGAACTAATGAATTGAGCAATGTTGCATGAAGAAGGTCAAAACACAAAAGTCAGTTGTATTTCAATATACTAGCAATATATATTACATACCAAATTTTTAAGAAACAAATATCTTCAGTTCAATTGCTCAGTTGTGTCCAACTCTTTGCGACTCCATGAATCGCAGCACACCAGGCCTCCCTGTCCATCACCATTCCTGGAGTCTACCCAAACCCAGGTCCATCGAGTCGGTGATGCCATCCAACCATCTCATCCTCTGTTGTCCCCTTCTCCTCCTGCCCCCAATCCCTCCCAGCATCAGGGTATTTTCTAATGAGTCAACTCTTCGCATGAGGTGGCCAAAGTATTGGAGTTTCAGCTTCAACATCAGTCCTTCCAGTGAACACCCAGGACTGATCTCCTTTAGGATGGACTGGTTGGATCTCCTTGCAGTCCAAGGGACTCTCAAGAGTCTTCTCCAACACCA